GTAGCTGACGTGGCGTATGGCCAAGCGCTGGAGCGGGCGGAGGGTGGACTCAGTGAGATCGGAGCTTGATGAGCTGGAGGCCTCGAAGGTAGCGAACAAGCTCTTGGCGGATGCTATTGAGGGAGTGGGAGAAGGAGGAGGTGGCTAAGCGTATGGTGGAGGTGATTGCGGACAAGAATGGTCTGAAGTTGAAGTTGGAGGATGTTCGCACGAGGCCAGGGTCGCTGCCGGATGGTGAAGGAAATGGATATCATGACTACAAAGAAGTGAGATGAAGTGGTGAAGCGGCTGATTCCAATGGCGGAGCAGAAGGCTCTCACTGAGCTAATCAAGAGTTGCAAGGGGGTTCCACAGCGTGCCGCGATGCTTGGCATTGGTGGCCAGGCCTGGAAGGTGGTGAAGTAGCGCGGGCTGTAGCTCGGAAAGCAGCGACCGAGCAAATGGCCGCGGCAGTGGATCAATTGATAGCTTTGCAGGGTATGATCGGACAGCTTTGGCACACTCATTCCTTTCACCGGATCACTTCGGCTGCGGACAGTGCATGGCAAGGAGGCTTGTTGGTGTGGGTCAATGGAAACTGTGGCATTCTTGAAGAAACGTGACTCCGCTTCCCAATTGCCTTGACATGCAGTTGTTTCATGAAGTTGGCATGCATGACTGTTTCATGGAAACCTTTTGGCTACAAAAGGCCTTGAGCTAAAGCGGCCTCGCAAAAGGTGCGAGATTAGGCGAGCAGAGCACCTCCGGTCCGTTCGGTCGTGCGAACTTCCTAGTTTCCATAGTGGTAGTGCGGAGCTTTGAGTTTGACTCCAGTGGCTTTTGGCTGCGCCCACTCAGTGCTGTGTTTGGTTCCTTGAGGGCTTCTACGGCTAGCTTCTTGGTCAACCTCCCCTACACGTAGACGCTAGAGCCCCTCCTTGGAAAGTTCACAGTGGCTGGCGACTTAGAGTTCGGTGACGAACGCCTTGGACGACCATGTCGGAGGACAAAGAATAAAAGGGTATGGCTATGCCAGTGGCTGGAGTGAATCGGGGCTTGACGCCTCGATACCGATCTGGGACGGCAGGGCTGATTCGTTGAGAGAGTTCAAACGAACAGTCACATGGTGGTTGAGCAGCATAGACCTTGGAAAGACACGACACTTCAACCTTGCTGCTCGCTTTGCCATGAAACAACGTGGCGCCGCCAGGTTGAGAGCCCTTGAATTTAGCCCTGAGGATTTGGCCTATACCCCAGAAGAGTCCGTTGAAGACCCTGACAACCCCGATGGCAACCGCCTGATTATTCAGGAAGCTAACTACAGTGTTGGGGTCTGGAAGCTCATTGAATCTTGGGAGCAAATGGTTGGAAAGACTCTGAACGACAAGAAGGGTGAGCTTCGTGAGAGGTTCTACATGAGCTTGAAGCGTGCTCCAACGGAAGCTGTCATGAATTTTTCATTGCGCTTCCGTACCCAGGTCGCTGAAATGAAGGCAGAAGGCATCTCCATTGATGATGCCGAAGCAGCTTGGTTTTACAAACAGAAGTTGGCCTTGAACGAAGTGCAAAAGCAGATGCTCGAGACTACATTGAACAACACTGCCGAGACATATGCTGATTGTGAACGAGAGGCTGTGAGATTGTTCAAGAGAATCCATTTTGTTGGTAATGCACCTAGTTCTTTTGGGCCTTCCTCCTTGACCAGTTTGCGAAAGCCTCAGTTGCGCCCTGGAGGTTCCGGTAAAGGAACAGGCTGGCGACGACCCAGTTCCTCAGCGAGCACCTCAGTTGCCAGTGGATCATCCAATTTCTCAAAGGGCTCATCCCGAATGGGCTTAGCCTCTGCCGTGAATATCACGGAACAGCAAGAGCAGCTGGATGATGAACAAGAAGGAGATTCGGCCTATTTTGAGGCCTATGAGGCGTCGGGAGAAGACCATGAAGGTTTGCAAGAGGGTTCTGAGTTTGATCCCCTCACCTCCTTGCAAGAAGAGATCGAAGTTTTGGCCTCTGAACTAGAGGCAGCAGCTCAAGAAGGGTGTGATTCCAGTGAACTGGATTCCATTGAAGAACAGCTCGATGGTGCAGTTGAAGCGCTGGTGACCTTGAAGGAGGCTCGCACCCAGATAGCTGCAATGCGGAAGGATCGAGGATTCAAAGGTCCATCAGTTGGAGGGCCTGTCAAGAAGCCTGGATCCAAAGCCGGTGTTTGCCATGTGTGCCATCAAGAGGGACACTGGAAAGGTGATCCTGAATGCCCTGGACCGCAGAGCAACTCCAAGGGTAAAGGAAAAAAGGGACGCCTTCAGTCCGCCTTGAAGTTCGGCAGTGGCAAGAAATCTTCAGAGACCCACACAGTCGAAGTGAATGTCATTGATTTGTTGCCCACAGTTCCCGAGGTCACCTTTGATAGCACCCCACAGATCCATGAGGTCCATGTCATTGATAGTCTGCCCGGATTGCCTGAGGTTCTTTTTTCGCTGTCCACCAACAAACAGACCCTCACCAACGACAAACTTCTACAGGCAGCCCTGGACAGTGCATGCAATCGGTCGTGTGCTGGCTCTCTGTGGATCGCGAATGTGGAACAAGCTCTACAACAAGCCCCAGATCATGTACGATCGTTGATCCAGAGGAAGCCAGAACAGGAACGATTCCGTTTTGGCAATGGTGGAGTGTTGTCGAGCGTTGAGCGGGTGAAGATTCCTATGTTGATCGGGAGTCATATTGTTTGTTTGTGGATCTCCTCAGTTCCATGCAACTCGCTGGGCCTTTTGATGGGGAAAGATGCACTGGATGCCCTGGGAGCTGTCTTAGATTTCTTGAAGAACAAGGTGAAATTTCACTTGTTAGATGAACGGTGGCACAACCTTCACAAACTGAATGCCGGACATTTTGCAATTCCTTGTTTACCCACTCCTCTGCACAAGTGGCCTCCCCTTGGTGTTGATCCTTGGATTCCAGTTGGTCGGGCAAAGTGTTGTGAAGTGCAAGGGACAAAGAAGAATTGGCTTTTGAAACGGCTTCAAACTGTTTGTGATGAGTCACCTTCTTCGGCATGTGCAGTGGAACATGTTGTTTCTGCAGTGTTTTTGGAGCAAGACGATCTTGGTGAGCCACCTGATCATGCTTCTCAAGCGTGCTGTGACACCTCCAACGGCTTGCAAGCAGCCGGGCGAGCGTGCAGCGGATCGATGGCATCGGATGTACATTCGTCTTTTGAGCCGCAACCGCTGGCACTGGCACGGAATACTTTTGTGGTTGATTCAGCGCCCCTACATCCGCTTTCTTCCTCCACCTCTTCCATCAGTGTCGACGACCAAGGAATGGGAAGAGCAAGTCGAGGGCATGGTGAAGCGAGGATCTTGGCCCAAGCTGTGGCAAACATGTCTCAACCTGGACCCTTCTCAGTTCTCGCTGTTTCATCTGAAGGAGTGCATGCACCTTCGAGATCGAATGGGTATGGAGTTGGCCTTCATGGAGGACGAGGCAATCCTCTTTGGCATTCAAGCTCTCAAGAAGAAGCCTCGCAAGAAGATGCAGCAAGCTTTGGCCACAGAGACCCAACGTCTCCTTCAGCTGAGCGAGACCGACAGGCGAGAACAACTTCGCGCCTTGCTAGGGCCCAGGGGCGGATTGCCAAGGCTCAAGGACGAGCTTGTGAAGGCTGCAGTGTTGCTCAACACCAAGTTAGAGCCCGACGACACAGTGGAGAAGATTCGACAGAAGTTGCAGCCAGTTGTCAAGACCATGATGGGCAAAGCCGAATGGAATGCACCACCTCCCACCTCCAGCTCATCGACGACGGCAGTGGTGCCGAAGGCCAAACCCACGGTCGCTCCCTCAGTCAAGAGTCCAACGAAACCTCAAGTGGTGGACCTGGCATCGGGAGACGCAGACTTGCTTCTCCGTGGTTTGCAAGAAGTTCATCTTCAGAACTTGACGATGGGAGAACCTCGTATGCCTCGACTGGAATGGGACGTGGAACAGCACCCCGAGTCCATGTCAGTGACGTCGGAGACAAGCTTCTTTCATCTGCAAATGGAGGAGGCCGAAGCTCGGGAGATGCAGAAGCCACGGGATTCAGGAGCTCAGTGAAGCAATCCATTGGCAAGATCACCAAGAACAGTTTTGCCAAGTTGAAAGCCGGAATTCGACAAGCTGTCCATCAGGGTTTCTTGAAACTTCGTCGACTACATGAGATCCTCAACGTGAACTACCAAGACGTTCAAGAAACCATAGAAGCTTCAGAGTATGACCTCAAGATGGCGATCGTTGAGGGGGAGAAAGATTATTTTGTGAGTCAGTTGTTGATGCCAGCTCTTCCAGCATTTGGCACAGAAGCTGAAGTGTTGCAGACAGCATTGCAGTTTGCTCGCACTGGACCTTTCCTTGGAGAGACCTTCACGGACACGGAACAAGTCAAACAACAAGCTGAACGTCGTGGTCACACGACCATGGACAGCATGACCTTGCCCGCCTTTGACTTCTTCAAGGACAGTGCGCAGAAGATCATAGCTTTTCCTTGTGGACCTTGGTCTCCCTTGCAAGCTTTGCGGGCCAAGGACAAGCATAGAGCAATGTTGTTGAGATGGAGGAGAAAGCGACACAAGAAGCTCGTTGATTTTGCAGTGAATCTGGCAAAGCGGCAACTGGCAAGAGGTAAGCATTTCATCATCGAGAATCCTTCCAGGAGTTCAGCTTGGTTTGAGGTTCCTTCTCTTCGTTCTTTTCTGCAGCAGCCTGGCTTGTTTCAGGTCGAGATCGACCAGTGTTGCTTTGGGTTGCATGGACCAGGAGGTGGATTGCATCGTAAAAGGACATGGATTTTGACATCCTCTGAGGAAGTCGCTCGTGAGCTACAAGGCATGAAGTGTGATGGCTCCCATGTCCATGAGCATGTGATAGGCGGCAATGTCTCCAAGTTCGCTGGTCACTATCCACCGGATCTGGCCAAGGCTTTTGTGAGAGGTCTTGAGAAGCAGTTTGAACGTGAAGGAGGAGCTGAATTTGATGTGATGATGGGTGAGAATGAGTTAGCAGAAGGCGATGAACCCGATCGTCAACTGCAGCCTTTCGAGGATGACTTCGACATGCAGGACGATGTTGATGTTAGCCAAGCTCTGGAGCCGACCAGAGCTCAGAAACAGGCTGTCCTTGGAGCCTCGCCTGAGATCATCAAGGCGGCAAAAGAGTTGCGATGCGAGGTGTGCCATGAGACTCAACGACCTAGCATTCCTCGGCCAGCAAGTTTGCCAAAGCCTCGCCAGTTTGGCGACCAGCTTCACATCGACCTGGTGGCAGTGAAGGACATCCGTCAGCAAATCACCTGGATTATGCATGCTATTGATGCAGCGAGTGGCTATCAAGTGGCTCAGACCATGGAAGCCAAGAGCAGTGATGAAGTAGTGAACTTCTTCAACGTTCACTGGATACCTGTTTTGGGTACACCAAAGATTGTTGTGGCCGATTGTGGCCCAGAATTTACTTCTGAGAAGATGCAGAGTTGCATGGCTTTTCGTGACATCCTGCTCCACCATACACCCGTCGAATGTCCTTGGTCCAACGGCCTGGCAGAGCGAGCTGGAGGCTCCTTGAAGGTGATCTTGGGCAAGCTCATCAAGGACTACAGTTGTCAGAGCCGAATGGAGATCCAGGGTGCCTTGGCCGCTGCAGTGGATGCATGCAATCAGGATATTGGTTCCGCGGGCTACTCACCTGCACAATTTGTACTTGGGAAACATGCAACCCAGGACTTCAGCTGAGGTGATTCCAAATGATCTCCGACTTCGCCTTTCCACTCATAGTCTCTTGGACAATGATCCCAGCTTGGCACGACAGACCGCTCTCAGAGAAGCTGCTCGGGTAGCTCTGGTTCGACTGAAGTACTCGATGTCGTTGAGGAGGGCTGAGTTCAGCCGTGCGAGAAGGGCAGTTCCTTGGGATTCTTTCAAAATGGGCGATATTGTCTATTTTTACCGTCAGCAGAAAGTTGCACCTGGAGGAGGAGCACGAGGCACCAAGCGAAAGCGGCTGATTCTCAATCAGTGGCATGGCCCAGGCATGATCACAGCCTTGGAGGGTGGCCGGCAACAGCTGCATATGTCTCGTATAGAGGCAATTTGACCAAGTGTGGCATTGAGCACCTACGTCCAGCATCTACACTGGAGAGGCTTGCCATGTCAGAATGGGAAGAGCTGTTGTCCGATGTCATCAATGCCTCAGTTCCTGGAGATGATGAATATGAACCTACAGAGCCAAGTCAGGATGCTGTCAATGCATCGGAGGACCAACCTACTTCTCACTTCAGTTCTTCTGGTGCTCCGCATGCAGTGCAGTATCCCTATCCTTTTCAAGCTCAAGATTTGATTCCAATGATGCAGATGGCTTCAACTCAGAGCTCAGCAGCAGCAAGCATTCCAGCATCCTCGTCACCGTCAAGGAGGACCTTGACCAGTTCCATGCCCCCTAGTGCCTTGTCCAGGCAGAGTTCAATGGCTAAGGAGAAGGTGGTGTTGGAGGAGAGCAAGCTTCCAGCTGTTGTTGAGGAGCCTAGCATTGATGAGACTGCGCAGAAGGATCCAATCCCAGCAGACCCCTCAGAAGGTGCGGCAGGTTCACTCCCGTCTGAGGCTCCGCCTCCGGTTGAGTCGAGCCAGGCCCCTTCACTCGGAGAGCTCCCCCGGCTTGAGCGAGCACAAGGCTCAGTCAGGAGGGCGCTGCTGAGGAGAGATCACCAAAGAGGAGACCATTTGTGCCGTTGTTGCTTGCAGGCAAGAGCATCCCCTGTTGAGAGCCATGGTGCAAGCACAAGATGACATTTCGAACCACTACCTCACAGTGGCACATGGGATGGCAGGTGGCCTCTTCCCTCACGCTCAGTCTGGGAAGCCTATGAAACTTTGGGTTGGTCTTGGCCTGAAGGCTCCATAGATAGCAGTTCGTCAGCATTTTTGGCAGGGCAAGATGAGCATCAGTCTTGTTAGTTCAAACAGGTGCTGGCAATCGCAAGGAGATGAGGTGGTCACAGATGGACGAACCCACTCGTCAACAGTTTCGTGTGGCAGCTGAAGAGCAGAGGCAGAAATGGACTGAAAACGGTGCGGTGGAGGTTTTGAATCTTCATCAGAGTCGAGCAGTCTTTCAAGAGCTTGAACGAAAGGGTGAACTAGACAGAGTGCTGAAACCAAGATTTGTCCTGACGGACAAAAATGCGTCCTTGAGGACACCAGAGACTCCTTTGCCTCTCAAAGCCTCAGCGAGGATTGTCGTCCATGGATACCGTGACTTGGCAAATTTGCAGAATGAGTTGCGAAGGGATGCACCAACTGGCAGTCGGTTGGCACAGCATGTGTTGTTTTGCATTGCTGCATCAGAACCGAGCTGGTGGTTGAGGAGTGCAGATGTCAGAGCAGCATTTTTGAAGGGTGACCCCTATGTGCAGCGTGTTTTGTACATTTGTGGTTCTGATCCAGCAAAAGGGCCAACAATTCCAATCCCCAATGGAGCAGTTGCAAAAGTCTTGAAGGGTGTTTTTGGCTTGGCAGATGCTCCCAGAGAGTGGTGGCTTAGATTGAGCCGAGAACTCAAACAAGAAGTCCGGACTATTTCGCTCTTGGATGGTGCACTTTGGTATCTGTGGTTGGATGATGAGTGCAAACCTGGTTCCAAGAAACTTGCAGGAGCCATTGTAGGCCATGTTGATGATTTGCTCTTCACCGGCAATGACATTGCCGTCCGTTCTCTTCTCAAGTTGGGTGAAACCTGAGGGTATGGCTCCATCGAGGAGGAGGACTTTCAGTGGTGTGGCAAAAGAATTCGAAGGGACAAAGACTCAAGAGAGATCATCGTTTCGATGACCACCTATCACTCGCAGCTGAAACCTTTGACTATTCCACGAAGTCGAAGGCAGGCTTTGGATGATCCACCGACTCCAGCGGAAGTCAAGAAGCTGCGTGGGATTCTGGGCTCATTGCAATGGTTAGTGGCACAGGTGCGGTTCGATTTAGCATTTACTGTCAGTTCATTGCAGAGTGAGAAGCACACCATGGGCACCTTGTTGAGAGCAAACAAAGCATTGATAGATGCTAAGAAGCATGGAGATTTTCATCTTCGTTTTCAGCGCATTCCCTTGGCAGAAGCAGGTGTTGTGATGGTTTGTGATGCTGCACTGGGTAACGTAGATGCCCAAGGAAGAGTTGCTCCAGACCCCAACGAGAGAGTTCACAGCCAAAGCTGCTATGCCATCATTTTGGCTGATTCCCAGTTGAGCCAAGGCAAACGTGGAAAGTTCAATGTTTTGGACTTTAGATCCCATAGGCTGGCCAGAGTTGCAAGAAGTTCATACGCTGCTGAGACCATAGCGGCAGAGGAGGGCATGGATGCAGCTGAGCTGGTTCGCGGCTTCATTGCAGAAGCGCTTGGGATTCCATTGCAGCCAAATGGATTTACGAGAATCACCAAAGTGGCTTTGACAGGTGTCACTGATGCTCGTGACTGCTTTGATCGAGTCACAAGTGATACTGGATTTGGCACACAGAAAAGTCTCATGCTGACTGTGGCAAGCTTGCGACAGCAGTTCAGAAGACCCCAAACGACCTTTCGATGGACAGCTACATCGAACATGTGGGTTGACGCAGGTACCAAGCAGATGGAGAACGAACAGCTTCGACAGACCTTGCTTCGAGGTGAATGGAGCATTGAATACCAAGAGGACTTCGTAAAGCAGACCTTCAAGAAGAAGAAGACGATTGACGACCTCAAAGAGGGCACCAAGCTTCCAGGCAGAGAAGCTCAGAGTGGAGATTTCCAGCTGATGCAACATGTGCACCATTTTGCTTTGTCACCGGGCTGGCACTTCAGCCAGGGAGTTGGTGTGCAGGTGGCCAGATTGGCCAAGAGCTTCAGAGGACCTTCCCCGCGCTTTGCCTTGCGCGATTTCCCACTGAGGACGACGGTGGGAGAGTTTGTGGTTCAGGGTCGACCAATATGGCAGATCCTGGAAGAAAGGGTGGATATGAGAGATATGGCATCTCTTCAAGAGATTTTGCCGGTTCCAGCCGCCACCCTTGTCAGCTTCTATGAGACAGCAGTCAAGGCAACAGAAAAATATACCCATGAAGAAACGTGACTCCGCTTCCCAATTGCCTTGACATGCAGTTGTTTCATGAAGTTGGCATGCATGACTGTTTCATGGAAACCTTTTGGCTACAAAAGGCCTTGAGCTAAAGCGGCCTCGCAAAAGGTGCGAGATTAGGCGAGCAGAGCACCTCCGGTCCGTTCGGTCGTGCGAACTTCCTAGTTTCCATAATTCTGCTCTGAAATGGATGCAAGCGTGACATCATCCCCAATGCAGCTTTCACTGTACGCTTGGCTACACCCAGGCTCCTGATTGTCCATCTCCACTGCCATGGCTACACTTTGTCATGGTCGTTCGACATGCACCTCACTCCATGACGCGGCCGACTTTGAGGGCACCACTCTTTTGCTTTCCTGCACACACCCACGTCCCCCCTCCTTTGCGGTGCGCCCAAATTGGTGTCCAGGATGTCCCATGTGTGTCGAATACCACCAACAGACCCGTACATGCTTTGTGACCCATACACTGACCAGTGCTTAGTAGGGAATGAGAGAATGACCCCTCACTATAGATACCATAAGATCCAGCCCCCTCATTCTCTACTACTTGTCGCACCAGTCAGGTCCCAGGTGTTCAGGCCTTTCTTTCACACGCATGGCCTCGTTCTGGACGGGCTGGAGGCCACGGTGCTGAACTATGGCCAGGGAATCTTCGAGGGATTGAAGGCTTGGTGCACCGACGCCGTGGACCGTTGGTTCGGGGTGACCAGACAAAGAACCAAAAGGACACAAGAGGTAATGGTTGTAAGACGTTGTAAGAACTGGTTCCTGATTTCAGGATGTTTCAGGTATAGAAAAACATAGTTGTTGAAGGCAAACAACTTGGTAATGACCAGGCACTGTGCCTATGTGATACTGGCATGTAAACAGTATTCCCTGACCGCCCTTTCAGAGCGGGCGAAGGGCGTTCAGACATTTTTCACAACAAAAAGACACTAGCTTTTGCTCAGGAGGGAGCTAAGGAGCCAGGGGCATCCATATTCCCCATTCAACAGGGAGCCGAGGAGCTACAAGGAGTTCCCCAACCCCTTACTAGCTGACATGTGTTTCCTTTTTGTTCTGGATTGTCACCAGTGGACTCGGTCGAATCGAGATTAATTTCTTGTGTTTTTGGATGATCGGACACCACATCCGTGCTGCAGAACGTGTGTTAAGTATACCAGGACCCTCCTGTCGGGGTGTCCTGGCTGGACTACCCCACACTACCGGCCTAGGCTTCCAGACAAGGCACCCCGACAGGAGGGTCCTGGTATATGAGGTTGTATTTGAAGAGTGAGACCCTCCAAGCACATCAGCCCATGGGTCTGACCTCGAGCTTCACCGAGATTGACTGTTTGGGGCCCACTGGCTGTCGTGGCACCCACCTTGGTAGGTCCCAGAACCCGGAGCAGGGGCGTTTTTGGGGGTAAATCAAAGCGCCGACTTTGGCCGCAACAGGGAAAAAACACTCTTATAGGTAAATCAATCCACAAACCTGGGGACATCTGGGGAAGATGTTTTGATTTTTTTGGTTCCGGCTTCCTGGGAGCAATACAAGAGAATCATGGTGGAAGTGCCCATTGCACCGGTCATGAGTCATGAGGATTGGAAAATGGTTCCTCCGAGTCTTCAGGGCCATTTTCCCATCCACGTTGACCAACGTTTCGTATCCGGGAATGCATCTTTGGAAACACACCTGGCACCGATCTGTTTTTCAAGTGTCCAAAGTCGGAGATCTCTGGGTTTTTGTTGGCATCTTGCGATGCGAGGCACGGTTCGTACGGTTCGGGATTCCAGTACTTGGTTTCCAATGCCATCGGACTGGAAGAGTGACATGCAAAACCCCCATGACCCATGGTGTAACCCTTCGATCGGATAGCTCAGAGGGTGAACCAGCAACTCTACCACTATAGTGACTCTAGTGGCGCTGTTTGAAATGGAAGTGGCTTCCAAGTGGTTTCCAACGGCCTGTCTCAACATGAAGAGGATGGAGGCACTCCTTGACAACCTGAACATCCTCCTCCTTTGGGGGTCGAACCTGTGTCAGAGGTAGGTCAAAGTGAGTGACCTGTTGGAGAGTCCCATGTTTGAATCAAGTCGAAGATTCAGTTGCTTCACCCCACCGAAGCAGAGGTCGTTAGCCCGGAAGGGGTACCTAAACCGCCCGGAAGGTCCGACCGAAGCCCACAGCGTCAACCTGGTCGTCAGGCCTTTCGCACTTCCAAAGGCTCGAGCTCAGCCGTTCTCCTCGAGCGGTTTGTCGGTGTTGCGAGGACCGGTGTTTCGGGAGAGAAGTGACCACCGTCAGGACAGAGAAGTGGCCCTTTGTTCGAGAGCAAACTCCGTTGAACCCTTCCACCTTCGGCGGACGAGTTTCCAGGGAACGGTGTTAAGTTTCGAGTTGTGTTGTCTTCAGACCAGCTCGGCAAACATATCCTACCGAACCATGGTGAAATGGCTTGCAGGTGGTGTACACTGTAGATGTTTTACTTTGAGCACAAGACTTTTGAAACTACAGTAGGAGTTTGTTCCCGTGCGTTTCTCCTACCCAGAGTCGCGTCGTGGCATATCATGGCACTTCCTCGTTGCAACGGGCCAAAGCTGTGCATCTTGAACCAGCAAGGACACCTGAAGGTGTCCGTTCATACACAGAAGTACACTTCCTTGTGTCAACTTGCCTGAAGACCAGTTGTTACCTGATCCAACCAATTTCATTCAAACCTGATACACTCCGACTCACCTTCCACCGAAGAAGATGGCATGGTTCCTTTCAAAGAGGACTTTCCCTCATACCATCTCATACCCAAACAGGGAGTGTTCCACTCACCTTCCATATATGTTCCACTCACCTCAACAGTGAGGTTCCTTCCACTCACCTTCCATATGTGATGTCTAGCTGGAGTGTGGCTGTTCACCTCCAGGCCGGACCGTGCTCTTCCGGCCCGAGAAGAATGCCCAGCGTAGCTTGGAGAGGGTGGGGACGTCGAAGCCCAAGAGGTCGAGAAAACCCCGGAGAACCGGTCGACGCCTGCTGGTCAGCCCTGCTGCGTTCGACGATGCAGCAGTTCAACCACTGTCACTACGTAAGCGACCGATGAGGATCCCGACAGGTACATCACAGTGTGCCTGTGAACCACCAGATGGCAACCATCCCCGGCCTAACGTCACCATGGCCACCCTCCGATCGAAGGCGATGTGTTCGACTCCACTTTCGGTGAGACCGTGCCCGGTACAGTCGTACTGGTGATCCGTGGAATGTCTAGCCTAGCCAAGTTGAAGCAACTTCGTAGGGTGCGAATTCACGAACAAAGCTCGAGAACTCGCTGGCCCCAAAGACGAAACGCTCGACTACCTTGGGCGTAGCGCGCAGATGTCGTCGAGAACATGAAGGTTGAAGATTATAGCTCTTAGTGGGAGTTGAGATGTGGACATGAGATCCCACAACCCTATGATGTCACCCAATCTCATCCCAAATCATCCCTATGATGATGTCACCTCTTATGTCATCCAAATCCCTGTGACCTTTTGAGACCCCCTGGAGACCGATCCCTGTGGTGTGGCAGCTCAACTCCACTGGGTGTAAGAGAAGCACCAGGCTAGGTGTTTGGTAAGGATGATGGTTAGAACATGACTCATTCTAAAGGGGGAGCAGTGAGCAGTAGTAATAGGGAAACGACATGTGAAGAATGTGAGTATAGCACGATCCAGCTTTTGAATCCTAAATTGAACTAGCCTTGACATGTTGAATTATTCAAAGATCCAGATCCAGGTGCATCCACAGACGACCTGAATGAATCCAACCACCCAGACATCTGCCTTGTGCGACTGATGCTGCGACGGAACCGCGAGGTGGCACCAGTCAGTCGGATGCTGCTCCCAGCATCGCTTCCGCGGAGCGCCCGCCCGTCGAACGACCAGGTATGGCGAGTGGTGCTGAGAGGCATTTCGCGGGAGTTCTCGTGACGTGAGGAGTGGCGACTGGTCCATGGGGTGTTCTGGGAAGACCTATAGTACTATAGTGGTCAGGTCTATGCTGCTGGTGAATTGCTTTCATGACCGATGGGGGTGGGCTTCGTGAACATTCGTGAACTGCTCAGAGGCCGGACTGCCTTGCCTAAAGATTGGACACTGCCCCCAAAAAGCACTAAGAAGCAATGGTTTCATTCAGAAGGTGGAGTGCAGAAGCACACCTGATGGAAACATCAGCATACATGGCTGGTGGTTAGGACCCCTATAGTCACGGAAGTCCCAAGCGGATGGTCATGGGCGCCCGGGAACCCATGATCATCATCATCATGATCATCATCATGATCATCGTCAACGTCAACGTCAACGTCCTCCTCCTCCTTCTCCTCCTCATCATCCTCATCCTCATCCTCATCCTCATCCTCCTCATCCTCATCCTCATCGTCATCGTCATCGTCATCGTCGTCAAAAGTGGTCGCAGAAGGTTTGGGAATGCAAGGACGTCCCAAGAGAACCAAGCGAGGTTCGCATTGTCGCTCGATGCTCGGCACCGGACCGGCTCGACTCACGAGGAATGACCTCATCCACTGCAGATTCCCTGTCCGCAGCACTAGTGAAGCACCAGGATTGAATGACTTCATGAATCAACAGTAAACTAAGATCTCCACGGTTCGTAGATATAGATTTGTTTCTCCAGCCTCACTTGGAAAGCCCCTCTTCATACTAGTAGCTCTCTATACCCAGCAGACCCGGAGGTTCCTGATGCCGCCAGTGCCCAAAGAGCTCTTCCTGGAGATGTGTTATGAAGCGGTTCGTGGCACGGCGCACACGGGGGGAATGGCCGCAGCCAGGTTTTATGTTTTAGTAGCCTAGAACATGACTGACCCCTGTTTTGGAATCCAAACATGTTTTTTCTATCAAAACCGAGGTCATATAGGTTCTACAGGTGTTCTATACTGGGAGGCGTAGCCGTTCAAACGATCCTTGTTGCTTTGAAAACGGAGGTAGGCCTCAGAAAGAGTCCGGTGTAGGTCAAGAACACTTGGGCCAATCGTTTGATACGGTGAAGGTGAAAGGTCCTCATCTTCTCCTTTTTTGAGCTCTTGCACAACATGGATGCTCTTGCAGATATAGTGGTCTCCAAATAGATAGTGGCACGGTTTTCGATACAGTTTTTTGTGGTGACCAACTTTCCTATCTACGGGAGTGGAGGAGAAAGAGAAGGAAAAGAAGAGAAACAAATTGTCGGGAGAAGTTGAAGATCAGTGGGAAGAAGCCTTTAGCTCAGATCTTTGAATCATACAGGCTTAGACCCCTCACCAGACGTGCGAAAGAGGGTCAAGAAGAAGGCTAAGAAGGTGGTCGAGAAGCACAGGAACCATCGTCGAGAAAGTTCAAGCGAGGGGTCATCCGAGAGCAGTTCAACCTCAGGGGACAGTCTCCTTGAAGAGGACAAAGAACTGTCCAATCCACAAACAGCGGCACAAAGACTATGGAAGCAGTAGATGTCGCACTCTTACTCAGACTATGGTTGAAAGGTGTGCGACTATGACACAGCCCGCGAAGAACCTGTGAAGAACCGTGCGGGAAAACCACTTTGGAACGGACTCTTTTCATCTCTCTTCTGTCGGGAGTTGGGAGAGTACAAAGAATGGGCGTTGAGAAATTCGGACCAATTTTTAATATGTGATAGCATGCTAACATTCCCACAGAGTGGCGTTGCGTCTCCTGGAGGCAGGAGAGTGGCGCTTCTGGGACTCCTGAGCAGTGAAGATATTTGGATATTGTCTACTGACACAGTGCAGAACAGTGGTGTACTACCCAACAGCTGTGGCCACCGGAGGGTGCGGCCCCACCCCGGCCACAAGAGTGTGCCACAGTGGAGCGGCGGGTGGCTGGAGTGGCACGGAATCTTGCACGGGGTCTCCAGATCTTTGGCTTTGGGAGAAGTGACACCGTACACCGTCCAAGACGGACAGCCGGAACCATGGCACGGCGTCGCACGCCGCCGTGGGGCGCAGAACCTCGTGAGGTCGCGCAGAAGCCCCTTTTTTGGACAGTACAAGAGCCACATCCACAAGTTTGTGTGGGTGGCGATTGCGGGCGAGGCCCAGCAAAGCGCAACAACGCGCTTCGTCGCAGCCCGTTTATAAACGGTGTAGCCATGCGGCTGTGGTCAGATGGCAGCGGCACCGTCAGGGATGTGCTATTTCCTCTTCAGCCACCACACTTGTGAAAAGGGCACGTGTTGCGCCGCAAATTTGTGTCAAGAGCGCAGGTAGTGCAAGCATGATGCGACACAGCTTGCTGAACGCGCGATGTGGAAGCAGCACTTCGCCGCTTGGAGTTGTCAACAATGGGCATTAACCCACGTGAGTTCGAAGGCCTTGGGCCTGGATTGGGGGGCTTTGACGAATCAAAAAACAATTGAAGATCAATGCAATAATAAGCTTTTCTTCACCTTTTTGATTTCTGACCAAGATCAACAGAATAGCTCGGGGTGGGCAGCTGATTGACTGCTGTGAGGATTGAGGTGCAGAAGCACAAACAAAACGCAGGCAACGAAGAGAGGATCACGACGACGACGACGACGACGACGCAGAAGAGGACAAATGACGACGACGCAGACGATGCAGACGGATCACGACGAATGGGATGATGACGTGGTACAGTGGTTGGTAAAAACCGTGGCTTGTGTCAATGGTGGTTGGTGCTGCAGGGATAAAGGTGATGGTGGGTGGCAGCCATGGCTTGGTGTAGACGGTGGTTGGTGCAAACTATGGTTGGTGTAAATGTGGTTGGTGCAAGCCGTGGTTGGTGGCTTGGTGTAAACCGTGACTGGGTGTAAACGGTGCTTGGTGTAAACCGTGGTTCTGTGTAAGCGGTTGTTGGTGTAAACCGTGGTTTGGTGTAAACGATGGTAGTGTAAACCGCTTGGTTGGTGTAAACGGTGGTTGATGTACACCGTGAGTAGACAGTTGTAAACCGTGGTTTGCTGTAAACGGTGTTTGGTGTAACCGAGGTTTGGTGTACACGGTGGTGTAGACCGTGGTTTGGTGTAAACAGTGGTTGGTGTAAACCGTGGTTTGGTGCAAACCATGGTGGGTGTAGACCGTGGTTTGGCGTTAACGGGGGTTGGTGTAGACCGTGGTGCGGTATAAACGGTGGTTGGTTGGTGTAGACGTAAACGGTGGTTGGCGTAAACCGCTTGGTTTGGTGTAAGCAGTGGTTGATGTAAACCGCTTGGTTTGGTGTATGCGGTGGTTGATGTAAACCGCATGGTTAACGTTTAATTAGTGTAGACGGAGGTTGGTGCAGATTGTGGTTTGGTATAAACGGTGGATGGTGTAAACCGTGGTTTGGTGTCAACGGAGGTTGGTGTAAACCGCGGTTCTGTGTAAACGGTGGCTGGTTGGCACCGTGGTGCGGTGTAAACGGGGGTTGGTGTAATCCGGGGTTTGGTATAAGAGGTGGTTGATGTAAACCGCGGTGCGGTGTACACGGGGGTTGGTGTAAACCACGGTTTGGTGTAAACCACGGTTTGGTGTAAACCGTTGTGTGGTGTATACAGTGGTTGGTGTACACCGCGGTTTGGTGTAGACTGTGGTTGGTGTAGACCGTGGTGTGGTTTCCTCTTAATTGTGGTCTGTGTAAATCGCGGTTTGATGTAAACGGTGGTTGGTGTACACCATGGTGTCCAATGGTGTGGTGCACACAGAAAGAAAAATCAAAGAGTGAACATCAGCAAACAAGAAGACAAGTGCCAAAACATCCACAAGATACGCTGGCAGGCCGGTGGATTTGGGGTTCTAGATAGTGTCTCTGAATCTTGGGTCGTGACAGATTCGGTCGAAAGACATGGAACAGATTTATGTCCCAAGAGCTAGTCGCACTAACCGATGTTTTCCGATGTTTTCCGCAAGATGTGGAGCAACTTTCTTTTTGGAGAGGGCTTTGATTTGCTTACATGACATAGTTTGTGCAGGCATGTGTCTTTTCCAGCCATGATGCACAAGAAAGGTCTGGTCTATGGCAGTCTAAGGTACATGTATGATCACATGCAAACACAATGCAAGTTGCGATGTGCTTTCCTTGAAGCTGCCAAGTCTGCAGTCCCCTCAGGTGCGAATGCAGATTGGGTCCCGCCTGAAGGCCGGGATGTATTTGTTCCGGCATTTGACAACGTGCTTTTGGCCAACACATTTCCACTTGCCCAGTGAAATAGTGTTCCTCCCTTAGGCCTCCCTTAAAGGTCCGAAAAACGGTGTTTCTGATATGTTGCCTGGAGTAGATCATGACACCCAAACTGGACATCTATCTAGTTGCGCGTGGGTTTGGGCATATACAAACACGAAAAAACCCGAGAAAACCATCGCCCAAAGTGGTTTCTACCTTGCTCTTCAGGCAAAGGTTCTTTATACCTCCGTCCGCTGTTGATGGGCAGCCGGATGCTCAGAACGATCGGTGTTTGGACCGTCTGGGTCGAGGGGCGAGTTGGAACACCACCCCGAACGAGAAGAGATTGCAATCGGGACTTGATAGAAATTGCAACAATTGTCAGAGGCTTTTGTACTGCGATGTGACATTGAAAAGGAAAAAGAGGAAAGACGTTACTTTCACCGTAAAGAAATTGTATGATGGTTGGTCAACACTTTTGGAAAATCACAGACTGTTGTATGGGCCGTATGGGTATGGTGTGTTTCGCACATCTTCGCACCAGGCCCTCAGAACTCAGAACGTGCTGGTTTTCAGACTCTGACCCAGACTCCTGCTGTTGCCCCCCTTGTTTTTCGTGGTTTTTGGGGCTGAATGTCTCTTGTTGCCGCCTTCTTAGGTCCAAGGTCAAGTTACAATACAGTCTTTTCAACACCTGGTTCTGGCCCTAACTGGATCAAATGGAAGCACTGGGACGATGAAAGGCTTACATAATATATATATAATATATTGACAGGCTGTGTGAAACTTGGGATTCTGATCCTCACCCACCCAAAAGTCCTGCGGCTTTGCCATTGGTGCAGCCGCGACACCTCGTGCGGATCGCACGAAGAACGGGGGGCTCCGCAGGTGACTGGTGTGCCCCGACTTCCAGACTTCACCCCTCCTACAAGTCCAGTCGGGCCAAGTTCAACCTGATCCTGCTTGACCTCATTGAGTACTGGGTTTTGCATGACCCGGATCCAGTATCTCATGAGGTCCAGTCCTTGACCATCCTTGACCTGTCGGCATCCCAACTGATCCCCTCCTCTCCGAGGTGGCGCTGCCTTGGGCGTGGGCCGGGGGACGAAGCATCGACTGATTTCTCCCTAGGGGCTTCTGGCCCACCGTGGGCCTGGAGGATGGGCCAGGAGTGGGTGTCAGGGGGGGTCTCATCACTTTCGGAGATGGGCCAGGGCCGGGCCGTTCGGAGCCCTTGTTGGGGGTCTCATCGATGTTCAGAAAGGCCCGACGACTCGGAGGAGCACGGGAAGATGTTGATCGTATATACAGTATTCCGATCGGGATCCGTATGTCGTACCGAACCTCAGGAGGTTCGGTACGACTGGACCCGACACTGGCAGCTGCATGTCTCAGTGTGCCCAATCACTTGATGTTTATCATATAGTGACCCAAAACCATCCAGGCAGTTCCCACTATACTACAGCTGGGAGTCCCAGTGGTTCCAAAGACTAAACCCATATGACCGGTTCGCTTCTTCCCTGGTTCTTTAGTACTCGTGTGGGACCATCTGGGACCCACTGGGTTATGTTACTTTTCAATCCAAACAACCCAAAAAGGTGGTGGCGAACTCCACGTGGGGTCTCCAGGATGGAGATGTGCTTGGGCTTGTGATGGGGAGAAGTGGTTGATGAGATTTCTCGTGAGCTCTCAGGAGGGGTTTTTAGGACCAACGCGTTCAAGTTGTTCATATATAACCAGAAGGACCAACTGTGAAACGAAGACTGCCTGCCAACATTTCATCAGGCCAACACCCATGCAACTTGGAGGTTGAAGTCAGATCTTTCACTGCTCAAACCCACGTAAGTAGGCAGTAGGCCGTAGGCACTTTAAAAGCCTACTGTATCAAAGTCCTTGTGTCTCTAATCTTCTGTTGTGTTCTTCCATAATCACCAAGATCTTTCACAGCTTTGCAGGGGGAACTGCCATTTTCCTTCCAACTTCCCCTCTGAAACCATCCGACTCGGCGCCTCACTTGGCACCTTCATTCCCCACCTTCACCTCGCCACCTTCACCTCGCCACACCTGACCACACCTGTTCCGGCCCCGAGGCCCGAGTCCGGAGTTCACCTTCGTGATCTACGTGGCACCCGTGGGCAGGACGCGGCACCGCGAGACGGGACGATGGACGCGGCACGGACCTCGCTCGACTCGACGGTGTTGTTCGACTCGTCGGGACATCGGCACCGTCCCGGCTCCGGTTTGGGTCACCTGGAATCGATGGAAAGCTGGTGAGGTGATATTCCCTAGGTCAATCCCCCTTCTGGTGAATCTTCCTTCAAACCGGAAAGGGGACCGAGACCTGGAGGGACAAACCGATGGATGGGGTGGGACGGTGACGCACAGAAGTTACAGGTACGGAATGAAGGTGGTGGCAGGATGAAGGTGGTGGAATTCGGTCGAGGGAAGCCAAGGAATTGACCGTGAAAGTTTACTGAAGATCGAATGAAGATGGATTATTTGGAGTGATTTGTCTTTTGAACCACTGGCCAGTGGAAACATGTGGAAACACTGAGCAGGAAAAGGCCACAGCCTTGTTAGAATAAGGCATGTTTGTCCCAGGAAACGTGGATCACCTGTACAACTTTTGGGGAGAGATGGGGAGACCCCACCGAGAGATGCGAACCAGTGGCAAGTGTTCGGCTCACCTGTACGGGCATGTTCTGGCGATGTGCGTCGGGAGTCAGTTGTGAGAGAGTCAGTTGTGGATGCGATGTGGTCCATCAACTACCTGAAATCCAGTGGCAGATCCACTGCTGCCTTCCAGAGGCCATCAAAATTCTTTGATTTTGCGGGGGGTCACTGGCTCGGTTGAGCCACACATAAGTGTTCAATCAGAGCTCATGTTTGTTTATGTCTTTTTTTTACGAGGCAGAATCACTCAACATCTTCGAAGGCACTTGGACGATCCTAACGGAAGAGCATGCCGGTCTCTACATGTCTCTACTGTCCACCCTGAAGAATCCTTCCCAATGTTCACCTCACCTCACGCGTTGCGCTCATCTGTCCCGCATGTCCCCACTGAACGCGCGCGAAAGACGTCCTCTTCGTGCTCCGCCGTCGCGCGATGCCTCGCCAGCTACTTCTCCGGCGGCGGAGCACGACTTCGAGTGGAGACGAGCATCTCAGACCTTCAGATGGATAGGGAAGGGGAGATCTGCAGGGCGCCCTCCTTCCATCCGCCGAGTGATAATCTGATCAGCTGCCAGTGGTTTTGCCGATGTTTTGTGGATGATTCTTCTCCACCGAGCTGGGTGAATCCACTGTTGGGAAAGATGTGTTTTTCTGGTCCCTCTTCAGGGACAGCCAATCCAAGTGGTGAAGAAGTAGCTGCTCTGAAGGCATAGGGACTGACCACAGTGAAACCACGTCAGGAGGATGGGAAGTTCATGTAAGTTCCATCTCCCATCTCAAAAAGCTTGACATATATTGGAGCAGGATTGATGGTTTTTGATAAATCGAAGCTGACAGAGATGAATGAATGGAGGACCCTCACTGATTGAAGTTGAGACGGTGAAGTATTCATAAATGCATATAGTGATGTTTAACTTGTGCATTGTTCTGTACTTTTATGCCAATCTTCTGCAGTCTGTTTACTTGGACCAGTCAACAGTCATTAGCTCAGTCATGGCGTCCGTGTAGGCCATACGTTGGGTCTGTCCGTTCTTACCTGCAACAGTCAGTAGATAATGAGCACTATTTTTGAACAAGGCCTGCAACTGAACCATCATCATCCACTATTAAGCCCTGGAAAAAATAGAGTCCACCCAAGCCCTAAGGAGGCAATGCAAATGTCAATGCCCATGGGCCATGCCCGGCCCATGCCCCTATACTCCCAGGCCACCATCGTGCGGCCGATTTAGGGGTGGGCTACGTCAAGGCCGGCCGCTCGCTGCCTGGGCCCAAACAGCTCGCTCGAGCCCCGTGCCCTCAAGCTGCGTGGAGGATCAAACACATCGCGAGAAGTCAGGGCAAGAAAAAAAGCGGCTGTTTTTCTTAAGGGGTGAAAGTGAATGTTTGATCATGTTTTTGTTTTTTCCGAACTGGGTGAATCCCAAACATTTGGGGAATCTGTTCTATTTTAGTCCCGTTCCTTCAACAAATCCGAGGACAAAGAACTGGGGAAGACCTGTTGTTCTTCATGATGTGCCAAAGCAAAGGTCTTGAGAAAAAGCGTATATATGTATTGTATATTATATATAGACTGATATATATATAATATATACTGTATACATATCCAGTTTGTTTGTCTCTATCTGTACCGCAATAGCACCGCCACAATTGTTTTATTTGTTCAGGTCCTGACCTTAAAGACACCCTTTTTGGGGTGTCTTTTTGTTGACCAGATTCTGCAGTCAAATGACCAACGATCCGATCCAGAACTGCACGGAGATGGCTCCCGGCTCCTTCCTGAAAAGGACCACTCGTTTCGGAAGAACCAACAAGGCCAAGCAGAAACCATGGTACATGATTGGCTCCTGGAGACCGGAAGTGCTTCTCTCACTATCAGTTCCTCACCAGTGGATGGGCTGAGGAGCGTTCACACAAGTCTGCAAGTTGGTGTGTGGAGACTGGAGAAGTGCTTCGGAGACGGAGGACTTGGGTCATTGGCATTGGGCTTCATAGCTCCACCTGAGAAAGCCGCGCAGGCCGCGGGGAACTACGCGCAAGGGGCCCCAAGATTTGAGGCCGAAGCAGAGACGAATTAGAGATACAGCATTCAGAGGCTCCAAGAATTCATTAAGTATCATATCAGAGTCGGTTTTAATCGAACATATTGGGTTTTTCCATGGTTTTCCATGAATTCTGTATGTTTGGTGAAGGTAGGATAGAGTTTGCAAGACCGCGCAGCTTGTGCCTGGTGAGTTTGTCCAATATCCAACAAGCAAGTCCGACCAGCAGCTTTTTGCACCAACAGCGGCGGCCGGTTTCGGACTCAGGGGTGCACACCAGGTAACAAGTTTAGTAGACACACATGATCAAGAAGTGTATAATTCAGGAGGTAACTCTTATGAGTCATGTAATCCTTTGCCTATGCGGCTATACTGCTGGTTTATGGTATGGGTCCCTCGAGGAGGTTGTGGAAGGTATGTGTTTTTTGGGGGTGACAACACGCTTTTTATGGGGTGAACCGGGCTCTGGGGGGGGGGGGGGGGGGCTGGGGTAATGGCCTTCATGGTTGATGCTATGGGGAGGTCATTACCCCAGCTAAGCTGGCCTACATGCAAAGCTGGCAATTTCGGTATCGCAAAAGAGGACAAAATCTCTTTCGTACCATCGCCAAGGCGATGCGCAAACGCCAAGAAGCACGTGAGGATATCAAAAGGTCGGCACACTGCTGCCACTGAAAGGAACACCACCCAAACCATGAAAGACTGGTTTCCGAAAAAATGCAGGTTTTCTATTGGAAAGTACCATGCGCGTGAAAAAACATTAAAAAAAAGGAAAGACTTCCACTCAACTCCAACATTCGACCCACCCGGCCGTGGGGCTTCGGCCATGTAGCAGGTGCAGTTCATACGGCGCGCGCGCGACGGCCCCTCGGAGGGTCCGTGCCTTGCGAGTCTATTGCCTACAGACCGACATCTACAGACCCCTACAAGTCCAGTTTGACCCAGTAAAGCAAACCTGGTCCTGAACACCTCGTTGAGTAGTGTGAACTTGTATGACCAACTCCAGGTCTTTCCAGTTTCGGTCAAACTGACCGGAATGGGGACTGAAATCCAGACCCGAGGATCCGGAAGAACCCAATGCGTTTTCCACTGGAAAGAACGGGTGGCGGTGTCCAAAACCCGCAAACGCTCGCTGAAATCAGCCCAGCTACTGGTTGATCTTGGGTTGTCGTCACTCCACTACACCCTGTTTCGTATGGATATCCTTCTATGTTCCAACAATGGCGGCCAAACCTTTGCGGCCAAACGGAGCTTGAAGACCTCCGCCCATCCACCCCACTCCACCAAAGACATGTCGGATGCGGTTTCTCCGGGGTACACCGAGGCCCTGCTTTCAGCCGCAGAAAGATGCCAAAGAGAAAGGCCCTGCTTTCTCAGCCGGGGTGTGATGGGGCGAGGCCTTTGAATAGGGAGACACCCGAGACACCGGGGTTTGGTCTATCTTCCTTCTTTGAGCGGGTCATTCCCTGAAAGTTCTCCCTATTTCGACCGACCTGTGGGTTTTGCAGAGCGCTGCCGAGCACGCGCAGAGCACTGAGAATGGCTGTGTTTCAATTAAATAGGAAGACCTCCCACTTCGACCCCCCTGGAAAAGCCAGAATTCATTGGTTGGGGGGGTCGCCTCTTAAATGCACACCCATACATTTTGGTGGTGATGGGGCACCAACTGGAATACTTATAGTAGGTGGCGCCATGCAAGCCTTGATTCGGAAAAAACACTGCTGACATAAAAATGCAGTGGTGTCCAATACCTGTTTGACCATTCTTCTGGAAAGAAATTGCTGACGTAAGCGTGAACATGCAGGGGTTTTCACTCTATACATGCTTGAAATAGGCGGCCTTTGTGCAAGCAATTGATGAGTTCTTGCTGAGCAAAAATAATTTATTGGAGGCCCCAGCTGGTGGTAGTTCAGAGTCTGATTCCGATAGACAACCAAGGATGCATTGCACGGTCCAAACGTTCTGGACATCCTGAATCGCGAAGACACTTGTTTGTGGATCTACCAGGGAGTCTCTTGCAACCCATCATGTTCACGTCAAAGCCCCGCTCAAAGAGGCCATGTGCCATCGACATGTTGCACATGTCGTGCATCTTGTGTTCAAACCTCCCATCATACAGAGCGAAGTGACCATGATCGATGACCAGGCCCTGACCAGGCGACTGTGCTATGGATCACATTGGTGTGAAAGCATTAGGGTTTGGGAGCGTCCAATCTCATGGTGAGATATCCCCCTAGCTGACCGTCAACACCAGCTGCCCTGGATCCGTAGGACCGGTTTTTACTCCAAGGGGGTTGTTCCAAAAGTCTCTTCCACAGATTGGACCGCTTTGCTGACCAGACTTGGAGGACCAACCAACACCTTGGCTAAGGATTACCTGGAACTGTCATAGCAAGGATTAGTTGGAATTTGAGCACGAGTCACTTTGACCTGGCCACACGTTTTTGCGCGCTTCCCATGCTCGCCGTGCGACGCGCCGCGGTCCGATCGCGCCTTCCACTGGTCGCTTGGACGGGCACACTTCGGCCACGCGGCACGAGTGACGAGGCGCGGGGTGGCGACGTTTGTTCGGCTGGACGGTGGTTCTTCGAAGCAGGGAAGCAGCCCAGACCATCCATGGGACTGGAATAGTTATACATTTAGCCCCCATGAAAAGGATCCCAATGTAGCTAATTAACGATTCTATACATGGGTGGTCTGGGCAGGGGTTCTTAGAGCCCTAAACCCAACAAACCTGAAAACCACCTACCTGAGCCCTCCAAGAGGCTACCTGTGTTTCCTGGGTGACGAGTCTAGTGTCCAGAAACCACCTCTGGTTGAACCTGTTGGCAGGCCCTGTTATTGATATTTAGACTCGTTCAAAGAGCATTTGGAAGCTCCTGAATCCAATACTAGACATGACATAACTAGTTGGGCTTGCAGGTGTTTGGCTGATGTTAAGACTAATAGGTGTCCATTGGGTTTGTTTTCAGTCAGGTGCTCGTGATGGGGCTCATGTGCGGGCCTTCTCCTGAAGATATATTCCATCAGGCATTCACGTTGAGTGTTTCCCCATAAGCTCGCGATAAGCTCGCGTACTCCAAGCGCTGATGTACCACCACTGCCAAATTCATCCAAATTCAACATGGATGCTCCCCCAAAAAAACAAATCGCCCGCTCGGCGTATGCCACGGACAGGGCACATATTAAATCACCCAAAGTCGATTCACGGCCTTCGCACCGTGAGAGGGACTGGCTGACAGGCTGTCGGATCACTCAACAAAAAGGTAATGAGAGGGACTGGCTGACTCTCCAGGGACTGATCCATCTGAGGATGGTCCTACTGATGGTCCTATAGATCATTATAGATCCCAAGAATGACCAGATTGATCGTAGGATCAGAGGATTCCAATCAGAAGGATCGAGACAACCTTTTGGGCCGAAGATGAAAAGGAACACAGATGAAAATTCAACTCGAGAAGAGCAATAACGTTTTCAGGTGAGCCCTACAGATACTATGATATTTGTTGTATTATTTTCTTTCGAAGAAAAAACAGTAAATTTACCATATCATTATCACATTTTATAACTCCACTTCCTTCTCCCGAACAAAGAACAACTAAAGAAAATAGGATCAAAAAGATCTTTATAAATCCATCTTCCATCATCTCCTCGCTCTCCACGTACCAACCACTTCAACCACGTCTTCGTCCTGCTCCTCCTCTTCCGGATTACCCGTCTCGTCTCGTCTTCGTCCTCCGCTCCAGGTGGAGTTGATCTGCCTGCCCAACGCCGTGGACCGCTACGGCACCGGCGATGCCGTCGTGAAGCTCTCGGTGAGCGGCGCCTCGGGACGGACCGGGTGGTCGAACAGATCGAACAGGTCAAAGCTCCCCAGCGGTTTTCGGAGGTGTCGTTTTTTGCTGGGGTGTGTTTGACGGTGGTAAATCAAAACACATGTTTTTGTTGTACTTTTTTTTCATGGAACGATTACTTCAGTAACCCCCTGCTGACATGTAAGATGAATTTAATAAATGTTTTGTTTCCATAGAAAACATGTTTTATAGTTTAAAGTTCTATGCGGATGTCAGTTTTCTGCAGGTAATAAATAAATATGTTTCTAATATGTGTTTCGAATTGCTTCTCTCTCCGGTCCGTTACCTAGACTCATGGTTTGTAGACAGAGTTGATCTTGTAGACTGGGGGGGGGACCAAAAAAAATAAGCAGAAGAGCATCATCAGGAACGGTGGAAGAACAGCTATGGTACTGCCCGTCTTCTTTTGACTGTGATGAAGGAGTTTTCTTGCATGTGGTCTAAAGTGGCTAAGAATGAGCTCATGCAAAAGCTTCGCCAGATCGAAGTTGACAGTCCATTGACAACTTCTACTTTGGATGCTTATCGTGATTGGTGGCTGAATTCCATTTGCTCCACAAAAGAAAAAAGGAGGTCTCTGCTGTTTCTCTGGATGGACATGAGAAAATAGCCACCCGATGCGAGGGCGAACCTCCAGCACGAGGTGGTCGACCCAAGGGCAATGGTCATGTGAAGTATTTCAACAATGGCTGGTTTATGATATGTTCTCCCGAGAATCAGTTGATTTTGTCCGTGGTGGAGATGTTTGAGCCAGAGGGTCACCAGGTTGCTTTGGAATCTTTGACGAAGCTCCTACAGCATTATCCCAACATCAACGCGGTGATCTACGATCGTGCGTGCTCCGTTGTTGCTGCAGCCCGCAAAGACAAGGCATTGTCAGGTATCAAGCACTGGTCAGTTGACAAGTTTCATGCCAAAGGCCATGTTCATGAGTGTCCTGGTCATCCTGAACGGCTTCCTGCTCTGAAACGGAGATTGAAAGGATTGAACACGTCGATCTCTGAACAGACTTTTCTTGGTTCCGCGGGTACGCCAGCACATTCAACAACATGGCACCGGATACACAAAGATTCTTTGTTTTGGTCTACGCTCGCCGTCACAACATCATGGTGCGCAAGCAGGACACTAGCCACTTGAATCCGTACTCAAGCCACAAGAAAACAGCTGCAGCATCAAAGGGATTGAAAAGACCCGCTAGCCATGCCTATGCACGTGGATCATCAGCATCTTCTCTGCCTGTGAAGAGATCTTCGGCTTCCACATCCTTTGCAAAGCTTCATTGAAGAGACCTTCTGCATCTTCGAGAAAGTGATCTATTTCATTCAAATGCTCACCTTTGGCTTGCCTGTGTATGTCTTCACACATGGGCGTCCAGATCTTGATCTTGCCAATGTATGCCCTCACACATTGGCCTGAAGGGTTTCATCTGGACAGTAAACATAATGTGGAAAGAAAAAAGTGCATTTGATAGTCTTTTGCTTTGCCTCCCATGCTTCCAGTCACACTCACGTATCTACATAATAATGTGTATGTATATACATATGTTGGTGTCTGTGTCAGTGTGTGCATTTATATACACACCTTTTTATTAAAAGGAAAGCAAAGCATTGCAATCGACTTCAAAAAAATGCTAGACTCAGACCCATCTGCTAAACATCTGAAGGAAAGAACATCTTTGAACTCAATTGCCAAGACCTTGTATACATACTTGTTTCTGTATAAACAAATTATGAAAATCATCTCCTAAGAAATACAATATGGATATTTTGTGTGCAAAGTATGAATCTTTAAAGAAATTCAATATAAAGATTTTGGCAAAATATGAAAATCACATATTTTTTACTGGAAAACAACCGAAAGAAAACACCGTAAAACACACACCCGCATAGCGTCCCACACTCAGCGTTTTCGGGGATATTTTTGCTGGGGTGTGTTGTTTTTTTGGGAGATGATGCACCATAAGAATAAGGTGCACGATAGTCACAATCTTTTTTGTTGGGGGTGATGTGTTCTTTTTGGATGTAAGGATGTAAACGGTGCATGATTGGTAGTGTGCGTATGCTTCAGAAAAACTTAGGGAAAAGCGCGCGAGATGTATGATAGATTATGATATGGTTCAGAAAAACTAGGGATTGTAACTATGATATGCAGCATGCATGTATGATATTGTATGATATGATATGTTCCGAAAATTCTAAGGCAACATGGGATCCAAAACAACATCAAAAAAGATCCATGGCCCATCCGAGGTACGAAATTCCTCACCTTGCGTTCCACTTTGGCGCACTCACCGGTCTTGGATGCCATCGTCACTTCAGCCATTCACAACGAGGACACGGAGCGTTCACCGCGGTGTGAGGAACGCGGACCGAACGAGGACCGTTAGACGCCACGTGAGGTGAGCAATGGACAGCTATGAGTCATTTGTTGAATTAGCATTATAGGAATCTACCAGCGCCTTAATGGGCTGAGCTCACCTGGCTGGAAGCCCCTACCACCACTACTAAG